AAGGTGACGGGATCCACCAGCCTCAAGCTCAAGCAATGTGTGCACCAGCAGCGTGGCGAAGCAGGTCTCAAAGGAGCTTCAGAAGGAGCCTCAAGCCCTAGTAACACGATCCATGATCCATGGGTTGGCTTGGCCCACAGGTGATGCAGCTCACAGGTAGAGGCAGAGAACTAGCTAAAGCAGCAGCTATGCTGGTCCAATCACCAGTGAGCAAGAATATGGGGACAGGCCTTGAAGAACCACTTATCTCTTTGCCCTCCAATCAAACTGCAACCTGATTTAATCCCACATGTTCCTATTGGCCAGGTTGGCACAATCAACCTACCTATCACAGGGGCCACTGAGTTTATGTTCATGGTGCTGGAATAATTTGGAAAAGGATATCAATAATGGTTGTACAACACGAAGAGTATCATCAATGGCAATGGAATATACGTATAGAAGTTGAGGAACTGGGGAGTGTTCTGCTGTGCATATTTTTTTTTGCCACAATTAGAAAAAAAGAAGTCATTACACGAATGACAATAAGTGCGAGGAAGAAAATGTTCTAGAATCGAATGTGGTGATCATTGCACAACGCTTCCTGGTAGGATTGAATTACTGTATTGTGTGACATGCGGATTGAATGCCAATAAAACTTAACAATTGATTAGGTCGTGTGATTCCAGTAGTTTTAAAAGTTGGTTACATCGCATGACTTCAATAGTTTCTACCACTTGCCTGTCATGTCGGTTTGCCGTCCTGGGGTGCTGCTGGGATTCTGGGAGCTACGTCACCGGTATTTCAAAGGCCAGTGGGGTCACCCAAGGAAATCAGGTTTCAGCGGAGCTTCCAGACTAAGAACAGGCTAGTGAAGGCTAGGTGGTCCCCTGAGAACCCTATGGACCGTTGGCGAAGCAAGAGGGTCGGGGAGAAAGAGAAGGCCCCTCAAGGGGATGGATAGACACAGCAGCTGCAGCCCTGGACTCAACGTTAACGATGGTGAGGCTGGCACAGCACCGGGCAGAGTTTCTTTCTGTTGTGCACGGGGTGACTATGCGTCAGACCCCACTTGGCGGCATCTGACAACAGAGCGCTGCTCTGCTGAAACAGCGTCGTGGACTGCCACAGGGCCACCCTCTCCTACTTGTGAAATGTCCAGCCCAGGGGTTCTCCACCTCCCTAAGTCCATGACTCTTCATACAGGTCCTCATGTGGTGGTGACCCCCCAACCAGAAAATTATTTTCGTAGCTACTTCAGCACTGTCATTTTGCTACTGAGATGAATCGGGTGATCCCTGTAAAAGGTCATCCGACCCCCAAAGGGGTTGCAACCCACAGGTTGAGAACCGCTGCTCTAGCCTGGGCTCCGAGGATGTCGCGCTAAGGAGGAAGGGGAGATGCTGGATGGAGCCGGAATTGGGGCCCCAACGGCTGGTCAGCCCGGCTTCTCCAACGCCTTGCCTTGAACTAGGCATGCACACTTCATACTGACTGAATCATCTATCCCATAGGCCGCGTGCAGGCCTAAAAGCGCAGAGCGGGCATCCCTAGCTGCAGATGGGAAGACTGAGGAACAGAGAAGGGCCGTTAATAACCTAACCTTCCTTCACAGCAAATGTCTGGACCCTTCTGTCTGTGCGTCCCATGAGGCTCCTTCTAGCCGAGATAAGCTTGAAGGCAGCAGTCTCCTTTATCTCCCATCTCGGCCGTCAACTTCCTACCCAAGGGGGAGAGGAGTCTGTCTGTGATTTGGGACAGGGGGAAGAGAAATACTACTTAGTAGCAAATAGCACTCAGAAAGAGCCAGCGGTCACGTCCTATCCCCGGCATTGATTCATTTAATCCAACACACCTGTGGGGAAAGGCGTAAACCCGTCCCGCCTCCATTTTACAGATGGGGAAACTGAGGCTCACGACAGTTCACTAACACGCTTGATATAAGAGGCAAAGCCAGGGGTATAAGTCAGGCAGTCTGGCTCTGGGGGTCCCTGGACCCTGAAGATGAAGTGAGACTAAGGAGACTCAGGGGAGGAACCCTCACCTTCCATTCTGGGAGAGACGGGGTGGGATTCCCAGTTAGGGCGCTTTACCTGTAGCCATTCCCCATCCATCAGCCAAAGTTCTGTGCATGGCTGTGAGGCTGTGATGCAGAAGCGGTTCCAGCAGAGCTCCAAGGCTAAGACAGACCAGGAAGAAAGCCCAATGATCTACTCTCAAGCATCAGCCGATCACATTCCATCCACAGCCAGGCATGGGGATGACCCAGGACCAGGCACTTGTTGCTGTTCTCTGGGGAATGGGGTTCTTCTTGGTCACTCATGGCTCTCTCTGCTTTTCAGCTCACAGAACTTACAGACCATACACATGATTGAGGGCCCTGTAGGGAGGTTAACTGGTTAGAGAGAAATGCCTGGGATACAGTCGTTCAGTCAGGGCAGTTGCTGCTCTGCCCTGCTCACACACAGGCCTCTCTCTGGCCCTCAGCTGCTTGACCTGGCCACTGCCCAGCTCCTGCAGTGCTGCAAAGAGTGTACAGGGTTGCCACTAAATGCCCAAAGGGCATGCCACTCCTCACTAGGCCTCATGCACAAGACTCCAGTCCTTGGGTCAGCAAACCTAGCTACTCCAATTAGGTGTCCAGAGGCACCCACTGCTCTGTGTGCTGGGAGGCCCACCTTGCTGCTGCTGTTCCTCTGGTGTCACAGCTGCCTACTGGATCCAAAAGATGAGACCCAGTTCTTCTCTTCTGTTGGTAGCGAGATTCCCTGCTCCCTGCTGCCGAGATGGTTGATTTCATAGCCAGCAGGATGCCGTCCCAGTGAACCCTGTTAGCACTCACAGCTGAATCCTATAATCTCATCAGTGGCGTCTCCCACTTAGTCTGGAGAAACAAATTCTAGAGAAACAAATTCATACATTCAAATATGTGTATGAGAGATATGCAAGAGAAATTGAATATTGAGAACACATCCCAGCCCAGTCCAGATCAAGTCCATAAGTCCGACACTAGCCCATATGTCTGATAAAAATCTATAAATTCCTCTTCAGACTCACAAAACACATACAATGATGCTAAATACAGGACAATCACAGGCCAACGGGTGGAAATTCTTGTGGATCTAGTGGTGGTGTAAACATCTCAGCACTGGCAGGGGTCTCCCCGTGGCTTCTCCAGCTCAGGGCACTAGTGTAGTTCCATGGGTCTTGTCAGCTGCAATGTCTCCCAGGGAGTGAACCGAGAGCGAGACAGAGTGAGAGTCTCCTGCCTCCAAGGAGGAAATACAGGAGTTCCCAGAATCCTCAGGAGACCATGACCACAGAGGTCTCATTGGCTATGATGTAATTGACAGACTAGACTCCACCCTTTTGCTCTTAATCCTCTCAAATTGACAAAACGATGACGATATAACTATCACACACACCCCCCCCTTACCCAGGCCCATGGGGAAAACAAGGGTGGCTTGTTGGGTGTAGCAAAGGCTCTGGCTGGAAGAGCCATGCTAAGCGATCCACTGCATGGCAGCCCTCCAACTGTGAGCCAGGAGCCAACTGGAGAGCTGATCACTGAAGACAAAGGATGCAGTAGGCGGGAGTGGGGGCTGCAGTGTGGATGCAGTAGGCGGGAGTGGGGGCTGCTCCAGTACTGGTCAGCATAGTAAGGCTCATATCCACCCACTACGCATGAGGACAGGGCGAATCCCGGGGGTGCCCAGGGTCTAGTCAGGAGCCTTCAAGGTCTAGCCAAGGCCAGAGAGGGGACAGCAGTGTCACGAGCACAGGTCTGACTTACTAGCTCCCTTCCTCCCACTTGTACCCAAGCCCAGAAAGTTGTCTGAAGCGAAGTTCAGGGCTTCACCGTGCATGTATCCTTGTGCTGAGAGGCTGAACCTCACACCCCACCCCGCTCCCTGCCCCCGTCCCCCCAACTCTGTAGCCTAAACAAGCTACAGATCAGCCCAGAAAGGTCTTTGCTGCCAACACAGAGAAGACCACCCACGTCGTACTGGTCCGGATGGGCCAGCAACAGAGCCGGCTCTGTTGCTGGCCCATCCGGAAGCCATGCCCACGGTCTGTCAGGGGAGTCAGTCTCCTGACAATCATGGGTCTGGTAGGCACAATTGTATGACCATAATACATAAAGATTATATTAAAGTCATAGAGCATGAGAGAGATAGAGTAAAATAAAGGAGTCAGACACATTTCATGGTAGCATGCTCACCTCAGCCCCTCTTGGTGGTCCACGTGGGGATGGGTGAGACAAGGTGAGCGAGGGAGGCCAAGGGGGGAGAAGGAAGTGGGGAGAGGGAAAGAGGGGAGCCTGGAGATAGTGTCTTGTTTGGGGGAAGACATGCATATTCATACATCACAAGGTGGGTGGTAATCACAGTAAAGTCCCTGAGCTCAGAAATAAGGAAAACGAATGCCTGCATTGGGGGAAGGCATGAGGCGGGGATGGGTGCCTCAGCAGGAGGAAATAATCAAAGAATGTCTGCTCCTTCAGGGAGACAGTCAACCATATGCTCACTTTAAGGCAGCATAGCTGTTAGGGGAGAATCTGTGGGAACAACATTAGTTTCCCACAACAGTCTCAGCCTGTGCCGACTGGCCCTATACAGACTCATCCTGGGGACCTGGGGTCTAGTCAGCCACCTTCAGGGGCAGGAAGCTGGTAGGCTCAGAGCTGGGGTGACCCAAAGCTCCTTTCACTCAGGGGTAGTTCTCTTGGCCTGGGAACTCTGGGGTCCCCTGCTCCATGACACCTGTCAGGCAGCCTCCCTGGGTCGTTTGTCCCTGCTGGGTTCTGACCCCCGCTGTCCACTCATCCTCATTCCTGGCCCAGAAATGGCCCCTCTCACTCCAGCTTGGGGGTCCCCCTCGGGTCTTCCCAGGGAGCGTTAGGCATGAAGTATTTGTCACTGAGGCCCCCATTCTAAAGGTGCAGGGCCAACCCTCAGGGACACATTCTGAGACCAGGAAGTACCGGGTCCCATTATCAGTAAGAACCACACCTGCTCCCAGGAGGTTGGAAACAATGCTTTATTGAGCCCATTCATGCTTTGCAGCCTTCCTGTTGCTGCGGAGCCCAGGTCCGATGCAGGCCTGGGAGGACTCCAGCCCCGACAACCAGCACAAGGGCCAGCAGCATGAGAGGCACCCAGAGGAGAAGCCTGGAGCTGGAGTCCCTGGGGGAGCCTGCCAGAGAGATGGGCTTTAAGGGATCACCGGGCTGGTGGGTTCCCCCCTCCCCTGATGTTTGGCTTCTGTGGGCACCCAGGGCAGTGCTGGGCTGCCTCCCTGCACATAAAGTGGCAAACTCCATTCCCAGTGAGCACCCCCCTTCAGGTTGGCACTCTTGGGATGACATATGAGCCTACGTACCTGTGGCTCCCACGGTAGGCTCCTGCCCACTAACATCCTCAAAGCCTACTGGCCCTGGAGAACTCACGATGTCCCAAGGCCCAGCAGGGCCCCTGTGGTCACCTGAGGACTGTCGCCGTTGTCCTGCCCAGGGAAGAGGGGGACTGTGGGGCTCCAGACTTGGGGGATGCCCAATGGAGGGGTGCTTCCAGAGTTTGAAAGGACACCCCCTCCCCCAGCCCAGACTCACTGGGAGACCCAGGGGTACAGGTCCGGGAGCAGGTATCCAGCCCTGAGGGGTGGCAGGCAGATGCGCTGCAGAAGAAGTAGACCTGGGGGAGGGGCAGGATAAGGGTCAAGGCTGGTCTGCTGACAGGGGCCGGATATCGTGGCTGGGACCCAGGACCCAGGTCAGGAACCCAGCATACATTGTGGCCAGCCAGGGAGGGCACACTGACCCAGATGAGTTGAGCCTGCGACCCCCCCTGCTTGGCTTCCCACCTTGGTCTCTGCACCCTTCCTCCTTTCCCTGAGCCCTTGAGGCTGCAGTCAGGGCAGGGCTGGCAGGAGGCTGTGCTCTACCGAGCCCCAACTTTTGCCTGCCCGGCTGCCACACCCCTGGGGGACTAGCACTGGCTCCCTGATGTAGAGAGGGGGTTCTCAGGCAGGGGGCTTGGCCAGGCCCTGGGAAAGTCTCTCTGGATACTTGTCTGTGCGCCAGCAAGGCAGGCTTCGTGAGCTCTGGCCTTGGTGACATGGTGGTTAGACTGCTCACCACAAGGTCAGCAGTTTGAAACCACTCTGAGGGAGTAAGATGAAGCTTTCTACTTCCTTGAAGAGTTAGTCTTGGAAACCTACAGGGGCAGTGCTACCCTGTCTCTATGGGCTTGCTAAGTCAGAATGCACTTGATGGCAGTGAGGTTTGCTTTTTGAAGCCAGGCTTCTGGGCCACACCAAGGAGAAAGACCTGTGTGGATTGGGGAGGGCTGGGGTAGAGGGGAGGAGAGGCCCCGCCCAACACACACCCCCTGGTAGAGCAGGGTCGCATCTCACTCAAAAAGAGCTGCTAACCACGAGGTCAGAGGTTTGAATCTGCCAGTCATCGCTGCAGGAGAAACCTGAATTTGTCTGTCCCCACAAAACGGTCTATTCCACAAAAGGGCAGCTCTACTCTGTCCTCTGGGGTAGCTATGAGCTAGAATTGATTCGATGGCAGTCAGCTTGAGGCGCTGGGCTGCTAATGCTAAGGTCGGCCAGTTCAAACCCACTTGGATCGATTGGACCCAAGGAGGGAACTGGTGGATTTGAACTGCTGACCTTGGGGTTGGCAGTTCAATGCATAACCCACTCACCCCCACACAGACACCAAACACAACCCCCCCCCTGCGGTGACATTCTGACCTACAGTGACCCTATGAGGACAGCAGAACTGCTCCACGGGTTTCCAAGGCTGTGAATCTATCCTCGTCTTTCTCCTACTTGAAGACTGGTGGGGTCGAACTGTATACCTTTTGGTCAGCAGCCCAATGCTTAGCCTAGTGTGCCACCAGAGCCTCTGGTCCTACCCCAGAGGACTCATTTGTAGGGCCCTTGGCCACGCCTCCATGGAGGGGCTTTGTCTACAGTCCCCCCTGGACAGAGATCCTCAGTGACAGATGGGGACTCAGCAGAGGAGCATGGGGCCTCCTTACCGGTCCCCTGAGGGCCCTGCGGGAGCCCTTGTCCAGGAAAGCAAACGTGGTCACCGTGAAGCGCTGGCGGTGAGAAGGTAGGGGCAGTGCCTTTTCCAGGGCCACCATCTCGGTTCTGTAGCCGTCCCCGTTGAAAGGACATCTGGGAAGGAGAGTTGTCAGGCATTCTTCTTGAGTCTCAGGCAAGTGGGGACAGAGCTCCCATGGGTGCCTGATGCCCCTCACCCGTCTGACAGGACAGGCCACTGTGGTTGCTGGAAGGGGTTGGTGCTGGGCGAGGCCCAGCACTGGTGCAGCACCAAGACCAGGCCAGGGTCCGCCCTCTGCAGGAGCCGGACCTCCACATGCAGTGGCTGCCGGAGCAGCTTCCAGATGGGGTAGTCTTCCTCCTCGTAGAAGGAGCTGAATGTCTCATCTGCGGGGAGAGGCTCGTGAGTCGGGCAGAGGGGGGGGTGGGGGCGTGGAGGGCCCTTAAGTAGTGGGGAGACAGGGCAGAGGAGAGAGAGCTGGGGGGCTGGGAAAGGGGGTAAGCCTTGTACCCTTGGCGATCCGGAGCTCGAGCCGTAGGGGACCAGCCTGGGTCACAGGGCCAGGTGGCGGAGCCCGGAAGACAGATGCCTGGACAGGCAAGTAGTTGCTGACATTGAAGATACAGCGGACGTGGAGCCTGGGTGATGGGGACAGAACTCAGAATCAGGGCCCCTGAGATTCAGTGAGCAGAGGGCTGGCTCCGTGGCTGTAGCAGCATGTCCCCCTCAGGGCAGTAGTCGTCCAGGGATTCCCATAGCTGACAAGGCGGGTGAGGGGCAGCTTGTCTGCTCCCAGCCTCTGCCCACCTATCCATGTTTGCCGAACCAGGCAGGCCCTGTCTTAGGGGTTGAAGTCCAGCAGGAGTCTGCAGTGGCTACCCTCAGCCGCCTGCCCAGGTCTGGTGCTTGAAGCCTTCAGGACCAGACAATCAGAAGTGCTGGGCCTGGATCTTTTCAAATCTGATGGCCATGGGCCTAAGTTAGTTATCCTCAGCCTCAGTTTCCTCCTCTGTAAAATGGCAACACCCTCGTTCCAGGAGCTGGGGTTCTATAGCCCTTATCCCCAGGCTGGATGAGCTCCCAAGATACCGCCCCGCTGGCTGCAACTTTGCCACTATATCTGGTACTTCGCTCCAGCCAAAGGACCGTAGGCCCCTCAGTGTGCCAGGCCAGTTTCCTTGGGTGGGGGTGGGGGATTGTCTGCATAGTGACCTCCTGAACTCCCCACCCCTCACCTCCTCTACCTCTCGGAGGTGAGAGCCCTGGGTTTGAACCTGGCCGGGTGCCCTGGGGGAAGGTCTCCTACAGACAGAGGCCTGAGCCTGCAGGCTAACACGTGAAAAGGTGCCCCCACCCTCCCTCCCTGTCCTGAAAGACATGCTGAAGTCCTAACTCCTGGTGCCCATGAACTCAACCTCATCTGGGAGGAGGGTCTTTGAGATCACCCACTTCCACCATGAGGTCACAAGGAAGAGGATGGATGCTCAGCCAATATGTATAGGGTCCTTACAGGGGTGAGGGTGGGAGAGATGGGAAGACAGCCACGTGACCAGGCAGCTTCCTCCCCAGGAGCCCCCTGGGGCTTCCAGAAGCGGAGAGAGATGAGCGAAGGTCTGCTGGACCTATTGGCTTCCAGCTTGTAGGAACCCTGTAGGACAGAGTAGAAGCCCCAGCAAATATGTGAGGCTGCAGGTCTTTACTGGTTGGGCTGCAAGGTCGGCAGTTCAAAACCACCAGCTGCCCTGTGGAAGAAAGACGAGGCTTTCTAGTCCCCTGAAGAGTTACAGTCTCTGAACCTCACAGGGGCAGTTCTACCCTGAGCTGCAGGGTCGCTGCCAGAATCAACTAGTGAGCTTGGTTTGGGTTTTATGTCTTTATAGAAGCAGTCTGCCTTCTCTTTGTCCCATGGGAGAAAGAGGCTGGGCCTACAGGGCCCCGACCTTGGGCTGATGGTGCTGCACTTAACCAGGCAGCCCCTACTCTGCCCTGTGGGGTCGCTCGCTATGAGTCAACAAATCAGAGTGTCGGCAGAACAGAGCCCTGCTGGCATCTTGAATCCAGACCACTGCCCCAAATCCTGAGGCAAAACACTGGTGGGGTCTGGGGGCTGTTACGTAGCACAGCCTGCTATCTGCTCTGCGTTGAATTGACAAGCATCCCACACCAAAGCAAACCTGAACCCACCGCCATCGAGTTGATCAGGCTCATAGCGACCCTGTAGGGATGGTCTGTGTGGCTTCTGAGACTGTAAGACTTTATGGGAACAGCCAGCTGTAGCTTTCTCTGGCAGCAGTGGGTTTGGGTTTGAACCACTGACCTTGTGATTGGCAGCCCGATGCTCATCCCATAGCACCACCAGGGCTCCTTGGTTGACACCTGCGGTCCTAAAATCCAAGACTCTCTAGAACAGGCTGGTTCTGTCAGCCCTGCCCTGTAGGGACTTCAGATTTCAAAGCAAACAGCACTTGAGTGTGGACACCAGCCTGTCCCGCCGGGAGCAGCCAGGCCTTGGCTCACTGCCTAACTCAGACTTCCCACACCCCTGGGCCTCAGAGGAGCCCCTGGTGGTGCCACCGTTGAAGCGCTCTGCGGCTCACCGCAAGGCCAGAGATTGAAATTGAAATCTGAAGTCTGAATCCACCTGCCGGCAGTGGTTTATTGAGACAGGCTATGGTCTAGCAAATGGCTCCTGGTTATACAGTGACAGTGGGGACCCTCAGCCGGGAGTGACAGGCACAGGTTTTCTTAGGGACACCCACTGACATCCTGGGCTGCTAGGGTGACCACATGGTCTGAGCCAGCTGGCCCCTTGTAGTTCTTCCCCCCAACTCCTCCCCCACCTCAGGCCCCCTGGTGGTGAGCTATCTCCTGTCTCCTGGGTGGTCCCCTCACCTCCCAGACCCTCAGATGCTGAGCTGGGCTATCTTCATTGGTGGAATAAGTAGAACCCCACCCCCTCAGACCTGCTACCACTGCCTCCGAGCCTGGTGCCAGGCGGGAAAACCCCCCGGGGCCTCACGTCCCCCAGACCCAGCAGCATCATCCTCCTTGACCAAGAACTTGATCACTAACCCCACTCAGAGCGGCCTTGGAAGACAGGCCTGGAGATCCTCTTCCAAGAGGTCACAGCCCCGGATGCCCACACTGTGCCCTGAGGCTGCCACAACTCAGAATCAACCCGATGGAGGGGGTGTTGTTTGCTTAAGACCTGGTTATAGAGCATTCGTTTGACCCCAGCCGACTGAGTCTAAAGCCTGCTTCCAAGCTCCCCTATGCCCCGCAGACCCCAGCCCACAGCTGGGCCGGTGCCAGGAGGGCCCCTCCCTACTCACTGGAAGGTGCTGTCCCACGTGACAGAGCCCCGGGGCCCCCTCTGAACTTCGAGGCCAGACACAAGCTGGTTCTCATAGATGAGCTGGCTGCCAACCACCTGAGGGAGAAGACAGCTGCTTGAGGCCCCCTGGGGTGGTACCGGGTCCCACCCTCAGTCCCCACGCCTACCTGGGCAGTGGTGCCGCAGTGGGTGAGGGGGAACCGGAAGACCACAAAAGCATCTGTCTTCTGGGCCGGGGGACAGCTGGTGGGTGCATGGGCCAGGTGGGTGTTGGCTAGTGTGATTCTGTGTGCCAAGGCAGTTTCTTGGGATACCACCAGGAGGAGGTGGCCATCTCGGAAGCACCGGACAGTGGCTGTGGCAGGGACAGGTCAAAATGACCGATCAGGGCTGTGGGTGGAGGGTTTGCTCAGCCAGGCCGGGCGATGGCAAGAGCCAGGCCATGTAGAAGCATTGGGCTGGGAACCGGGAGGCAGGCAGTGCAGAGTCTGAGCACACCCTCAGGACTCAGTTTCCCTGTTCCACAGAAGGGAGGGGCTGAATCCTGTGCTGAAATAGAACCAACATTGATTGTGCTCACAGTCCAAATCAGGAGGTTCTTGGATCCAAAGCCCAAACTCCAGGTCCTGACAGCACGCCGTGCACTGGAGCACACTATGTTCCCCAGAGCTTACCATGACTGGTTCTCAGACACAGATCACCAGGCCTTTATTCTGAGGGGCCCCTGTGTGGACTCCACCTACCACCTCCCAGTTAGAAGTGGAGCATGTAAGCATTCATGCCACCTAGGGGACACCCCCTGGGGGACCGCGCCCCCCCC